CCGCGCGCCTTCCGGCCGCTCCGCCGCCGCCCATGGCCTCTGCGGTCCTAGAGCCTGCCCTGTAGGGCACATCCGCAGCCCCGCTCCCCCGCTCGGCTGCGGGTTCGCCCTGCCCCCCGGGCCGCCGTGAGGCCGGCATGCCCTGCGCTCTCCGCTCGCCTCCGACCCTGCAGGCCCTCCGCTTTGGGGCTGAGAGTGCGGGGACGGCCCTCACGCATGTTCACTTCTTCAAATCTGGCCCTCTCTGAAAAAAGTTTGGACACCCCTGAGCTAGAGTGAGGCCCAGATCCTCAAAGGTATCCAGGCACCTGCCTCCGAATGATTTTGGTGAACATGAAGTGCCTAAATACCTTGGACAGTCTCTCAGTAATGCTACCTCCCATGCCTGGGATCCCTGCAGGCTACACTTAAAGCCTTAGAACCCTTAGGGCGTCTATAGACCCTCATCTTCAGGAATCTCAGGTGGCAGGCAGCGTGGCTCAATGGCTAGAGCACTGGGAGGTCAAGAGCCCTAGGCAGAGAGGCATGGACTGTCTCCTGTTCCTTTTGTGTGCACTCAAGATCCCCCGGGCCTGCCCTTTCTCCACCCTTCCCCCCGCGGCCCTGCCCTTGCTTCTCTCTGCGCCCCCCAAGGCACGTCCACAGAACAGCTGATCACGTCCACAGAACAGCTGATCACGGCGTCAGGAGGTGCTGGGGAGGAGGATGGGAGGTGCTGATATGGTGGCTGCTGCTTGGTGCTTAGAACCCACTGGGGTTTTTTTCCCTGTGGGTGCTCCAGCCCTAGAGCACTGCACAGTTGGCACCTATGGCCCTGCGCTAGAGATGTAAACTACCATTTGATTGGTTAACTGATTAAAGGGGTATGGGGGGGCTGGGCAGGGCATTTCCCTGCCTCCTGCTGCAGTTTCCTTGGCTGAAAACAAGGCGATAACAAACCTCTTTGTAAAGGCCTTTTAGAGCTCTGAATGAGACTTTGGATCGGCACAAGGGGGTGCAGTGAGCCGGGGGGCTGGGAGCTGCTTGGGAAAGGTGTGGGAGTGGTCCTAGCCCTGGCCCCATGGTGGGGCCGATGTTCATTCTCAAGGCACTGACTGTGCAACAGGGAGGTGAGAGCCCCATTTTACAGGTGGGAAACTGAGGCAGGGGGCTGGGCAAGGACTTACTTGCAGCTATACAGGAAATCCGTGCCAGAACTGGAAGCAGAACCCAGAGGATCCCGTTCTCCCAGTCCCTTGCTTTGACCACTGCCCCACACTTCCCCCAGTGATGAGTCTCCCCTTTTGCTCAGCATCCCTTTCATCTGCCCCTTCTCTCCTGTGTCTCTAGGGCTCAGGAGTCCGGCCAGCACGTCCTGCCACGTGCACAGGTGACCCTCCTGGCCCCCATAACCAGGCCGGGGAAGGTGATCTGCGTGGGCATGAACTACGCCGATCACTGCCGGGAGCAGAACGTGGATATTCCCCAAGAGCCCATCATCTTCAGCAAGTTCCCCAGCGCCATCAACGGCCCCTTCGATGAGATCATCTACCCGGCCGAGAGCAATGTAAATCCCCTGGCTCCTCCCCCCACGACGCCCTGTCGCTGATGGACTCGCCCCAAAGCTCCAGCTAAGGAACTGCAGGAGCAAAACCCCAGGCGTGTCCGCTCCTCCGCGGGGCCTGGATGTGAGCAGCCTCCAGAGCTGTTTAATCTGAGGATCCGCCCTTGAGAAATGAGGAGGGACAGTTCCTGCTGTTTGTGCCAGTGTCCCCACCCGCATGCCAGCCGTACCCCAAAAGTTGCATCCAAATAGCTGCTTTGGGAGAGCTACCAAGTTGCTAGGCCACAAGGCCCAGGGGGTTCTCTGTGCTGAGGGCATTTGCCCACCTGTCTGCACAGTCCCCCTTAGCACGAGTGGCCCTGGGAACAGGCTCTCTCTGGGGCATCTCTGAGCACCTCTCCCTTGGTACCCAGCCCCGATTGCCTCTGGGCCCTGCCGGGCCTGGCAGACCCCCCTCAGACTTGCCTGTTTCCTTCTCTAGGAAGTCGACTGGGAGGTGGAGCTGGCCTTTGTCATCGGGAAGAAAGGGAAGCACATCAAGGTACTAAGGGGGCTGGGAGTGGCCGGGGAGCCCCTCTGAGTCCTGTGACTTCCAGGCCTTCCCCA